CAAAAAGAAAAAAGCCGGAAGTGGCGCTGTGGCTCAAGTGGTAGAGCGCTAGCCTTGAGCTGAAGAGCTGAGGGACAGCACCCAAGCCCATAGTTCAGGCCCCATGGCCAGATCCCCCCCCAAAAAAAAAAGAAATAAAATAATTGAGTGCATTCTTACCTACCATACTCCAGGCTCTGAGTAAACCTCCAGTACTGCAGAAAAATAAAACAAACCCAAGTTATATTCACAAAACAGCTTATATTTCTTAGAAGGTTTGAGTTAAATGGTAGCATTTTTACTTCTAACACAGTGATGTAAAACAGATTTCTATGTGAGATTTACATGGGGAACCTGCAAGTTCAGGCCTGGTCCTTCACAGCTGTTCTTTTGTTCTTTCTCCTTCCTCTTCCTTCTAGTTTCTACTTTCACAGGTCTCAACTCTTTTCCCCCAAAGAACAGCAAAGGATGATCAAGTACCAGGTGAGTGTGACATTCAGTAGTAGCACAGCTTCCCTTCTCAGGGAAACTAGCCTAGAAAGCAATGTATGTTTTATAAGAACATGCATTTTGCTGGGTGCTATGCTAAGAACTAAGGATTGAGGTGTGAAATCCCAGGCAGGTAAGTCTGTGAGACTCTTATCTGCAGTTAACCACAAAAGCCGAAAGTGTAGCTGCTGCTCAAGTAGTAAAACACTAGCCTTGAGCAAAAAACCTTGAGGACGGCACCCAGGTCCAGAGTTCAAGCCCCAGGACTACATAAATATGTAAATAAAACAAAGAACATGCACTTTGTTACAGGTTGGGTTCTTAGAACAAACTTAGAGATACAGTTTATCACAGATTTTTGTTGTTGTGTGTGGGGCTTGAACTCAGGGTGCTACCTCCAAGCTCTTTTGCTCAAGGCTAGCGTGCTACCTCTTTGAGCCACAGCACCACTTCTAGTTTTTTGGTCTCATGGGGACTTTTCATCCCGGGCTGGCTTTGAGCCAAGATCCTCACATCTCAGCCTTCTGAGTAGCTAGGATTACAGGTATGAGCCACCAGCGGCTAGCCACAGTGATTTATTAAGGAGACTCAGAAACACAATGAAGGAGGCAGGACTGGGCACAGGAAGGTGTTGGACAGAGGCCTGAGCTGATGCCACATAATACACTGTGCAGCTGAATGGCCCTCAGTGTTGTCTCAAACTGAATTTAGGGGATTTTGTATCCAGTACAATGTCTGGACACAATGTTGTGCACTTGTCATCCTAGAGATGCAGAGATCCATGAGTAAGATTAAAGCGTTGGCTGAGCTTGGCATAAAGAGATAAAGTAACTGAGGCACAAGTGGCAAAGCAGCTTACCCAAAACCTGAACTCAGTGACTGAGCTGGTAGTTGATCTTGGTCAATCTGACCTTTATCTGATACTTGACTTCTCATGCTTTTGTTCTCTTTGCCCTAAACCAGAGGCTGCCTGCAGCCAGTTTAAGATGCAATTTGCCATCTGGTCCAGTCTCCATCTTCCTACATTGTTCTATTCTTTGACTCCTTGCTAAACTCTTTTGGTGCTGGCTTACATGTTAGTGTGCCATGGGTCTCTGCTCACCCTGCCTCCATGCCAAAGGAATCTGTTCTGTGTTGACGATTGACACAGCTTTAGCTCTGTCTCTCTAGATTCTGCCAAAGATTGCCCTGTATCCACCTAATTGCCTGCCAGGTGTCTCCATTTCTATGTCACTTGGGATGAGAACACCTAAGATTAAAACACCTCGCCATCACTTTTTTTCCCCCATAGCTTCTGCAGAAACCCGTGTCATTCAAAGATGTGGTTGTGGGCTTCACCCATGAGGAGTGGCACCGGCTAACTCCAGCTCAGAGGGCCCTGTACCGTGATGTGATGTTGGAGACATACAGCAACTTGATCTCAGTGGGTAAGGAAGACCCTTGCCACATACTTCCCATCAGCTTTGCATGGAACACCTTGGCTTTTGTCAGTCACTGAGATGAAAGGAAGCAGCTCAAACCTCTGAAGTAGACAAGCACCAGTGGCTCATGCCTATCATCCTAGCTACTCTGGAGGCTGAGATCTGAGGATCCTGACTCAAAGCCAGCCTGAGCAGAAAAGTATGTGAGACTCTTGTCTCCAATGAACCACCACAAAGGCTGGAAGTAGAGCTGTGGCTCAAAGGGATAGAATGCTAGCCCTGACTAAAAAAGCTGAAGGGACAGTACCCAGGCATTATGTTCAAGACCTAGTCATTTACCTAGTTTAAAATAAAGCCAGCATGTGAATCTCAGCAGCTTGGGTACAGACCACATTTCCAAGCCTTCTGCTGGGCTGCCCCAGTGACACAAGCCTGGAGTCTTAGTGGTCCTGGATTAGCAGTTGGGATTGGATTGGGATGATGTGTGCAGTCACCTTGCACATACAGCATCTACTGTAGAGTTCTAACAGCTGCCTTCGAGGCTTCAAGGCTATGGACCTTGATTCAAGGCTGGATCATTTTCCCTGGAACAGGTTACAAAGGCACCAAGCCAGATGTGATCCTCAGGCTTGAACAGAGAAAAGCACCATGGATCTGTGAGGCAGCATGCCCCAGCTGCCAGTGGCCAGGTAAGTGTGGCAAATCTAGCAGCAGGGGCACCATGGGAGGCTGACACTTTTGAAGTTTTGTTTAGGGTCCTGCTCTTAATGCCTGAATATTTTCCTGAGTTCTTCATCCTTCTTGATGACCTTTCAAACTCTGTGTGCCCTAATACCCCTACAGCTAGCCAGATCTTCCTTCTACCTCTATTTTAAATCTCAGCTGCCATTCTTTTTTTAATTTTTTGTCAGTCGTGGGGCTGAACTCTGGGCTTAGGCGCTATTCCTTAGCTCTTCAGCTCAAGGCGAGCCCTCTACCACTTGAGCCACAGCGCCACTTCCGGTTATTTAGTGGTTTATTGGAGATAAGAGTCTCATGGACTTTCCTGTCCAGGCTGGCTTTGAACTGTGATCCTCAGATCTCAGCCTCCTGAGTAGCTAGGATTACAGGCGTGAGCCACTGGCGCCCGGCTCACCTGCCATTCTTGTGTGGAGGTTTTCTCCCTATCCTTTCTTCCTTTTGGGCAGTCTGAGGATTGCACCATAGGCCTGGTTCTTACCACTCAGTTAATATGCTAGTTTTTCTTGCTTTTAGTTTGTATTTCAGAGATAGTCTAAAGTTTTGGCCTAGTCTTCCTCTGACCTTGATTATCCTTCTTATGCCTCCTAGGTATTTGGGATTACAGGAATATAACACCATGCCCAACTCACACTTGTAATTCCAGCTACTGTTGTTGCAGAGATCAGAAGGATGGTAGTTTGAAGGGAAGCTAGGTAAAAAGTTAGTAAAAGGGGGCTGGGAAGATGGCTCAGTGGTAGAGTGCTTGCCTTGCATGCATGAGGCCCTGGGTTCGATTCCTCAGCACCACATAAGCAGTAAAAGCTGGAAATCGTGCTGTAGCTCAAGTGGTAGAGCGCTAGCCTTGAGCTGAAGAGCTGAGGGACAGGGCCCAGGCCCAGAGTTCAAGCCCCATGACCAACAAACAGAAAAAAAAAAAAGTAAGACTTAATCTCAACCAAGTCAGTCATGGTGGGATTACTCATGTAATCCGAGCTAAACAGGAGACATAAGCATAGGAAGACTGACTATGCAGTGAATGCAGCTTAATTAGAACTTAGCCATATTATTTTATTTTAATTAATTAATTAATTTGGTTGGTCATGGGACTTGAACTCTGGGCCTGAGCGCTGTCCCTCAGCTCTTCAGCTCAAGGCAAGCACTCTACCACTTGAGCCACAGTCCCACTTCTGGTTTCCTGGTGGCTTATTGGAGATAGGAGTTTCACGGACTTTTCTGCCCAGGCTGGCTTTGAACCGCAATCCTCAGATCTCAGCCTCCTGAGTAGCTAGGATTACATGCATGAGCCACCGGCGCCAGGCTTTTAGCCATATTCTTTTAGTTCTATATTGTCTGGCTTTTCATTCTACATTGGGAAAGTTGAATAACTGTTAGGACCTTAAAAAAAAAAAACCTAAAATACTTAGTTTGGAGCCAGTTAAGAACAAGTTTGCAAACTTCTGCTCACTGATGTTAACTCATCTTTTTTTTCCTTCTTTTTTTTGTACTGATATTGGGACTGGAACTCAGGGCCTGGTCATTGTCCCTTAGGTTTTTCAGGTCAAAGCTAACATTCTACCACTTGAACTATACCTCCACTTCTGGCTTTTCAGTCTTTAATTGGACATAAGAATCACAGACTTTCTTGCCTGGGCTGCCTTCAAACTGTGATCTCAGATCACAGCCTCCAGAGTACCTAGGATTACAGTGTGAGCCCCTGGTGCCTGGCTTTAGATAATCTTACATTATTTTCTGTACAAACCAATAATCTAATACATTCCCTGTTTTGTCAGTCATGGGGCTTGAACTCAAAACCTCAGCTCTGTCCCCGAGCTCTTTTACTCAAAGCTAGCACTCTACCACTTTAGGCCACAGCTCCACTTCTGTGGTGTTAAAAACAAACACAAAAACACAAAAAACTCCACTTTTGGGTGTTAAATTGGAGTAGATCAATTTTTTTTTTTTTTTTTTTGTCGGTCGTGGGGCTTGAACTCTGGGCCTGGGCGCTGTCCCTCAGCTCTTCAGCTCAAGGCGAGCGCTCTACCACTTGAGCTACAGCGCCACTTCCTTGGGTGTTAAATTGGATATGAATCTCATGGGCTTTCCTGCCTGGGCTGGCTTCAAACCCCAATCCTCAGATATCAGCTTCCTGAGTAGCTAGGATTACAGCTTGACTCTAATACATTCCCTTTGAGCTACTGCTCCATCATCTGTACACAAAGAACACTTTTGAATTTTGCCTTTGGTCATGGTTCATATACTCTATTCAAATCCTGTATCTCCCTTAAACTTGAGGGTATTTTTTTTGTCTGTGTGTCATTCATGGAACTTGAACTCTGGGCCTGGGCACTGTCCCTCAGCACTTCAGCTCAAGGCTAGCGCTCTGCCACTTGAGCCACAGTGCCACTTCTGGCCTTTTCTACTTATGTGGTGCTGAGGAATCGAACCCAGGGCCTCATACATGCAAGGCAAACACTCTACCACTAAACCACCTTCCCAGCCCCAACTTGAGGGTATTTTTAGGTAGCTTTATTCCAAACCATACTAAGTTTAAAGATTCACGAGATGCTTCATTTGTACTTTTCCAGAAAAAATCTGGAAAGTTAACATCCAGAGGAAAAGGCAGCAAGACAACCTTTTGAGACAAACAGCATGCATCAGCAAGAAAACACTGTCCAGGGGGAAAAAACTGAAAGGCAATAAGAGTGGGAAAATCGCACTACTAAACCCTGATCATTCTTCAACTCAAAGTCTGACTGGTTTTCAGAGAAACTATGCAAACAAACAAGAGGAGTGTTATGGGTCCAGGAAGTTGTTACAGGGAACAATCAACTCTAGAAGTTGTAGCAGAGAAACATACTGCAGTCCCCGTGGGGAAGCTTTCAGCCACAGCTCAGCACTTCTGTATAAACCAGCAGGAACCACCAGTTGTGCTGTGTACAAACAGAAAAGGGTTCCTCCGACAGAGAAACCTCACGTCTGTGGTGAGTGTGGGAAAGGCTTCTGCTACAAGTCTGAATTCATTAGACATCAGAGAAGCCACACAGGGGAGAAGCCCTATGGATGCACTGAGTGTGGGAAAGCCTTTTCCCACAAGTCAACTCTCATCAAACATCAGAGAATCCACACTGGGGTGAGGCCCTTTGAATGCTTCTTCTGCGGGAAAGCTTTCACCCAAAAGTCCCACCGCACAGAGCATCAGAGAACGCATACAAGAGAGAGACCCTTTGTGTGTGGCGAGTGTGGGAAGTCATTTGGTGAGAAATCTTACCTCAGTGTCCATCGAAAGGTGCACACAGGAGAAAGACCTCATCGTTGCAAAGAATGTGGGAAATGCTTCAGCCAGAAGTCATGCCTCAATAAACATTGGAGGACCCACACAGGAGAAAAACCCTATGGATGTAATGAATGTGGCAAAGCTTTCTACCAGAAGCCAAATCTCAGTAGACATCAGAAAATTCATGCTAGGAAGGCTGCCTGCAGGAGCGGGAACTTCAGCACTGGAGTAATGCCTTGATCAAGATTCACACTTTCAGCTACTCAGGAAGCTGAGATCTGACAATTATGGTTCAAAGCCAGCCTGGGCAGGAAAGTTCGTGAGACTCTTATGTCCACTTATCCACCAGTAAAGTTGAAGTGGCACTATGGCACAAAGTGGTAGAATGCCAGTCTTATGTACAAAAGCTCAGGTACAGCACCAGGCCCTCAGTTCAAGCCCCAAACCTGGGAAAAAAAATTTTCCCAGGTGCTGGTGCTTTATGCATTATGGCTATAATCCTAGCTACTCAGGAGGCTGAGATCTGAGGATCGCGGTTCAAAGCCAGCCCGGTCAGGAGAGACTGTGAGACTCCTATCTCCAGTAAACCACCAGAAAACCGGAAGTGGTGCTGTAGCTCAAGTGGTAGAGCGCTCACCTTGAGCTGAAGAGCTGAGGGACAGCGCCCAGGCCCAGAATTCAAGCCCCATGACCGACAAAAAAAAGAAAGAAAAATTCATGGATAGTAATTTTTTTTTTTTGTCAGTCTTGGTGCTTGAACTCAGGGCTCGGGCACTGTCCCTGAGCTTTTTTCTCAAGGCTGGCTCTGTGCCACTTTGAGACATAGCTCTACTTCTGGTTTTCTGGAGGATAATTGGAGATAAGACTCTCACAGACTTTCTTACCTGGGCTGGCTTCCAACAACAATCTTTAGATTTCAACCTTGTGATGAGCTGAGATTATAGGCATAAACCACCAGCACCTGGCCATATTAGAAATCTTTTTTTTTTTTTTTTTGTCAGTCGTGGGGTTTGAACTCTGGGCCTGGGTGCTGTCCCTGAGCTTTTCAGCTCAAGGCCAGTGCCACTTGAACCATAGCACCACTCCGGGTTTTCTGGTGGTTAATTGGAGATAAGAGTCTCAAGAACTTCCCTGCTCAGGCTGGCTTTGAATAGTGATCCTCAGATCTCAGACTCCTGAGTAGCTAGGATTACAGGCATGAGCTACCAATGCCAAGCAATATTAGAAACCTTATTAGTGAATTTGGACCAAGCATTCTATTACAGAGGAAATCATGCTCTCACTATGAATAAAGTTTTATAGGAGGAAAAAAATATACATATTTTGGTTGGTCATGGGGCTTAAACTTTGGGCCTGGGTGCTGTCCCTCAGCTCATCAGCTCAAGGCTAGTGCTCTACCACTTGAGCCACAGTCCCACTTCTGGTTTCCTGGTGGTTTATTGGAGATAAGAGTCTCACGGACTTTTCTGCCCAGGCTGGCTTTGAACTGCGATCCTCAGATCTCAGCCTCCTGAGTAGTTAGGATTTCAGGCGTAAGCCACAGGTGCTTGGTTAGAAAATATTTTATAAAATAGAAACACGGTTACTATAGCCTGAAAGTTAAAGTGTATTAAATATAACAAAGAAAGAGAATATTTATGAAGGGACCTATAAGTATGTTATAGTACATTCCTCAGTGAGCTGCCTAACAATTATGTATTTTAGAATTGTCAATGGCAATTAACATCTATCATGAATATCAAGCCCCTATGTCACCTATTACATACAATGCCTTTAACCAAACTTTTTCACTCTGAATATCACTACTTTTGGTTGTGTTAACATTAACCTGCAAAATGCCAGATTGGAATGTGGCTCAAGCAATATAAGATGAGGAAGACATGAGGCCCTCAATTCAAGTTCTAATACCAAACACACACACACACACACACACACACCACAATGTGTAAATGAACTGTGGTTCCGACACAAAAATTCATTATCATTTCTATTATTTTTTGATGAAACTGTTTATTAAACTTAAGACCTTGCCCTTGCTAGGAAGTGCTCTGATCTAAGGAATAATGCATGTTTACAATATACAATGTGATGTTTGATGTGTGTATAGATTGTGAACAAATAAAGCTAATGAACATATTCCTCACCACACTTTTTTTGGGGTGAGACCACTAAGAGCTAATTTCTCAGCAATTTTCAAGTACACATTAACTCTAGGCATGTGTTGTACAACAGATCCTCAGAACTTATTCCTTCCTAACTGAAACTTTAACGCTCATACCTTCATCCTCCACTAGTCTACTCTGCTGAACTCAGTGAGATCAAGATTTAGATTATACATATATCATGGAGCATGTCTTTCGATGCCTGGCTTATTTGTCAGCTGTGGCACTTGAACTCATGGCCTGGGCAATGTCTATGAGCTTTTTTGTTCAAGGCTAATGTGCGAACATTTTGAGCCACAGTGACACTTTGTTTTCTGGTGATTAACTGGAGGTAAGAGTCTCAAAGACTTTCCTGCCCAGGCTGGCTTCAAACCAGGATCCTCAATTCTCAGCCTCCTTAGTAACTAGGATTACAGGCATGAACCACTGGCGCCTGCTGCCTGCCTTATTTATTAGATATAGATATAGTATGTATAGTATAGGATATATATATATAGTATATATGTTTATATATACATATATATCTATGTATGCACACAGTGTACTATGTGATGTTTGATATATGTATTGATACATATATATGTATTTATATATACATTTTATATATATATATATATAATATACATATACAGGAGTGCCCAGCTCAGATTCCTCCTCAGCCTTGTGTGGCCCAGTTGTCTCCCTCTCCCTGCTCAGATCATACATGCGTGTGTGTGTATATATATGTGTGTGTTTTTAAGCCCCCAAATTCTTTTTTCTTTTTTTTTTTCCCATCATGGGACCTGAACTCTGGGCCTGAGCGCTGTTCCTCAGCTTTTCACCTCAAGGCTAGCGCTCCACCACTTGAGCCACAGCGCCACTTCCAGCTTTTTCTGCTTATGTGGTGTTGAGGAATCGACCCCAGGGCCTCATGCATACAAGGCAGGCACCCTACCACTGAGCCACCTTCCCAGCTCCAAAGACCCCCAAACTCTGAGTGCTCTACTCATTAACCCAAGGACAGACATCCCAACCGAGATTCATCCTAGCCTCTAGGGCTATCTCCTCCCCTCTCACTGTTGACAGCGACAGAACTGATTCTGCCTCCTCCCACTCCCAACTTCTTAGAAAACTGCAGAGTGTATTGGAATTCAGGATGCAAATGACAAACTAGAGCACTCAGAATCTGGGGGCCTTAAAACAAATTCTGAGTGCTCTGCTTTATCATTTTCATCAATTCTGTAGCTGTGGACAGCCCTAGATCTTAGGATGAACAAGGGGCTGCTTCTGACAGAAACTGTGTATCTTTGTTGGGATGTCTGTCCTTTGTTGATGAGCACTCAGAATTTGAGGGTCTTAAAACACACACACATATACACATACATCTATATGTATATAAATATATATGTGTGTGTGTGCGTATATGTGTATGTATATATATATATAAATTCATATATCAGACATCACATAGTATACTGTGTGCATGTCATGGGGATTAAACTCAGAGCCTAGGCTCTGTCCCTGAGCTTTTTGCTTAAGGCCAGTACTCTTTTTGTTAATTAGAGCTAAGAGTCTTTTTTTTTTTTTTTTTTGCGCCAATACTGGCACTTGAACTCAAGGTTCAGTTTTTTTTTTTTTT